GTAGGTTTGCTATGGGTCAAGCTACATTCTCTGAAGGAGGAGGAAATCAATCAATCACTGTCATACTAGGAGGAGCACAATTGAGTCAAGAACAAACCATGGAAGTTTACATTGATGATGGAACTAGCAGTATGTCTATAATATTATATTATATTTTTTTATGCTTTGGAAGATGGAACATCACTTGGTTTTGTTGCATTTGGTACTGGTGCTATACCACAGAATAGGACTGTTGTTTTTCCAGTGGTTGATAATAACATTGCACTGGAACCTGATAAACATTATCTACTAAGGTTAAGGAACATTGGTAATATAGGTTTAGGTAATCCAGGAACAATGAATGTGACTGTAAAGGATGATGATGGTAAGTGAGAGTAGTTTCGATTGACACGATTATATAATGTTTATGTCTGTATAATAGTCGTTAATTTATTCCTGGAAAGAAGATCATATGATACTATTGAGAACCAAAGCAGTGTCAAAATATGTGTCATCCTAACTGGAGGAAATGTATCGACCCCTATGAACATCTACCTTTTTGATTCTCAAGGGACTGCTAAATATCAATGTAAATGATTTCTCATTTGTAATTATAGTATTGCACATCTTTCTCACTCTATTTAGTTGATTACTTTTTCCTCAACTTTCATATAATACTGCCTCCATATAAGAACAGTACCTGTGCAACTCTCCACATTGTCAATGATAATATAAAGGAGACACTTTATGAAGTGATGTATATCTACATCTTAAGAGTAATTCCTTGGAATAAAAATCTGCATGTGGACTATACCTGGTCTACAGTTAGGATACAAGATGATGACAGTTAACATTTCCATTTTTTTTTCTAATTAGGAAAAATATTGACAATTTTTTGTATCAATGTTGGCAAAAGATAGTCACTGTTGATAGCTACTGTTTTTTCATGACTCAAACATTTGTGATTAAAGACATAGATACTGTGCAGTATCCATGGCAGCTGAAACTATTTCAAGGCTTCCACCCTATCGGTTTTTGAGCTAACCACAGTTGTTACACCTTAATTTTAGAATAAATGTAGATCTAGTTGCTAATCAGTCTAGAGGAATTGTCTAGACAGATTACTAGTACTTAGTACTAAAACAGTATTATGTTATAGAAACAGGCTGGTCCAACTGATTCAGCAATGCCATCAGGAGTTGTACTTGTATACAGACATCTTAGCATTACAATAGAAGATATAGACAGTAAGTTTGTATTGAATCAGTTTATCTCTCTCTTATTTTATATGATCAAGAGAATAGAATAGAGAGAGGGCAGTGCCCTTGTCTGGGTTGGCTGGGGCCTGCCCTGTTTATGGGGAAAACAGAAATATTATGGAGAAAACTGCTAAAAACAACTTAGTTGTTAGATATCTACTAGCTAAATGCATGCCATCTGATGCAGAATTGATATTAAAACAATCAAAATGTATCACAAAATCCACACAAT